CTCTAGATGGAACTACTAGTGAAATTATGATTTCTTACTCGCCAAACAAGGTAAAGGAGTTTTATATAAATTAAATTTGATTAACATCAGTTCTATTTTTTTTTTTTTTTTTAGATGGTGGTCAGACGAGTCTTGGAACAGTGGCAAGCACTGCAGTTATATTTTACCAGCGAGGTTAAAAGAGAAAGAATTTACAAAACCAAGACAAATTTAATAATCCAGAAATTGAGTTATACCTCACATTTTTATCTTATATTTTACTCTTAGTAAACAAGATTAACATAGAATTTCAATCTGAGACCACAAAACTTCACTTATTGTATGAAAAAGGTTTCTTCGTTATTTAAAACCATTCTAAAAAATTACCTGAAAAACGAATATGTTAATTCTGTTAATATTTTTATAATAAATCCCCAAAATGTTTATAAATACCTGCCAAATAGTGAACTTTATTTAGGTCAAAAAACTTCACTACTAATAAAAAATATTCGGTAACTTATGTGAATTTGTATTTAATATTTTCTCATTGCCCCATAGCAGCGCATCTAGTGAAATAATTTTTTTTTATTGGTACCCTATTTTACTTATTTAAAGTACGCCTCAGCGTGTTTAAAACGAACTTTAAAAAACGCGCGTGTTTTAAAGTTACCATGGCAACATCAACAACCCGAGAAACGTGATGTCTTAATGCCAACTTTTAAAATATTGATCTGACAGGAGAGCCTTGTAATGTAAAATAAAATATTTCTGAGAAATTTTTCAAATAATTTTGTTATCAGCTAAGCGTAAATCGCACAATTCACATCTTCTACAAGAGCCAAAGATGCCACAAATAGCAACCATCTTCAAAAATAAATACGTAATGTCCGGTGCTCTGTAAAAAACTTCCGCAAATCGTCTTCCTCAAATACATATGCCTTCTTGACTACCTTATTTTGCTAATTGCCTTCGTGAATGCATGCACTTTGACGAACGATTTTATATCGACCCCTTTGTTTATCCTCAACATACTTTGTAATTTTGAATGGATAGTCCACATAGTCGATACTTTATACTGTTCCGACATTTTCTGGAGATAAGCAAGAACAACTCGTTCATCTATATGCGTAACCTTTTTCTCTTCCATCCACGTGTTGAATTTATCGTATTCTTTTTTATAAACCGCTTCGGATTTTTGTGGTATTAAGCGCGATTCTGCTTTATTATTTAAATACTTAATATTTGAACTCATTTTAAACAATAACAACTATTGCAACAATTAATCTTACGTGACAGATTGAAAATAAATTTTTGTTTGTCTCATTTTCATGACAACGAGGTATACTGATGTTACATCACAAATTCAACCATTTTCAGTTATTAGTTCTTATTTCCATTTTTTTTTTTTTTAATAATACCAATATTTAGGATTTCAAAGTATACCAATAAAAAAAAATAGCGTAAAGTATTCGTGGATAACTGGTCTTTAAAACGCTTGCTCTAGTTCGAGCACTCTGGCTGCGCCGTCGTGCTCGAAAAATCGCGCGTGTTTTAAAGACCGTTATATCCACTCATACTTTAATATACTATTTCACTACTGAATTTAATTAAAATGAAAACTAGGTACTGCCTATTGCGTGAAACGTGTAATGCACTATTATTGGCGAAATCTTTATTAAGCAAGACTCCTTGTTTTCAGTGGGAGCCTTCTCAGTCCTTGTTAAAAAAGGATGTCCTTTATGAGGAAGTAAAAAAAGTACTTCCATAGTAAAGCTAAATCCACATGAACGAGAATTTGCGGAAAAATTGTTTATTTTTCAACGAAATTTTTGCAATTTTTCTATGAAATTTATTTCATCCATCTCTATAAGTAGAAATGGACGAAATGAACTGCATGGCAAAATGATAAAATTGCGTCCATAACAATTTAATTTAATAATTGTATTTAAAATTAACATGTAGTTTGCCGAATTTATTAATAAACAATAATAAACATACATACTTCGTTTCTGTACAATCATTTAAAATCTGGTACAATTTTGTCCTGGGATCTGTACAATTCTTTGAAAGCCTCTGGCAACACTGGTCCGAACCACTACAGAAGACGTCGGCCGGGCACACTCGCTTCGCTCGTTCTTTTATCTTGTATTAACGCCATTGATGTAGGTGAAAAAGGGCGTACTCGCTTTGCTCGCTCCTGCCTCTAGTGGTAAGGCCGTTGGTGGAACGAACATAGCTGGGTGTTATGGTGTAAGTGTAAAAAGGGTGCGGATGAATTTCAAAACATCGGACAAGCGTGCTCGCTTCTAATGTAGTTGGGACATAGTAGGATGAGCATGTTTTTATGATGTATGTGTGTCAGGGAACTTATTTAGTCAAGTTAGAAATATATTGTGTGCACCATTACTCCAAAATAACGAATGGATATTTTTTTAATAGTACACTATGTATTCGGGCTAATAAAGTTAGCACACACTTTTTTTGTAAACTTTTTAGGAACGTAAATATTAATAAGGTCAGTTACGTTTTGTTCACTCTGTATATAAATGTCGACTTTAACATATAAAATTTCTCAAATGGGAGTTCATTAAAAATATGTTTAGACAACATGGCCATGGTATTTAAATTCAATTTACCTATTTATTTTCAGATGAATGTAATTTTCTCTCTGGTAAAATGATTTTTTGAATACTTGAGATACCTTTTATTATAAAAACAAAAAAATTCAACGAAATTTAAGAATATGGTGTAATAATCTACGTTTTAAATGGGATGACTGAAATTCTTCAGGAGGTGGCGTCACGCCGCGCCGGACTCAGCAGAAATTGAATGAATTCGGCTATCCTCTTTGGTTGATAGTCATTGAATTTGGTTGACAATTCATTTGTCAGACTAATTTCTCTTGTTTCAAAGTTTAAAGTTTAAAAACTTTTGGATAACATAAAATAATTATTGTTTATTACTTTATAGATAATGTTATAATAATATTTAGTTAATATGTACAATTTAATCAAAAAAATAGATGGATGTGACTGGAAATTAATAGTTAAAAAGGTTTTTTAAGGAGGAGCAACCAAATAAATAATTAATAAAAGTAGTACTTTTTAAAATGTTTGGAAATGTTACGCCAAAAATAAGGTACTTTTTGGGGTTTCCGGTGGTATATTTGAAAAGTACTATTCTTCCTTATGCCTAAAATGTAAGCATAAAAAAATGGATAATTAATAAAAAAAGGTATCTTCCCAATAATACCTGTCCATGCGTGATGTAAACATTGTTCCAATATGTATTCGATTCATGAAAGTACCTAATGGATTCTGTCAATTATTAATCTAGTTTTGTTATAAATTGGAACGCTTGGCAACGGTGCCCGTGCACGAAAATCGAAAATCTTAGGTTAGAATCACCAAAATTTGTAAGTTTTAACTCGAATATCTGTTATTTATGCGTAACCCGCAAATTTTTGTTATTTCATATATACACATAGTACCTACTATTTTCCAGTTTAATTTTTTTTTAATTCGTGTGTCCGTTAAGTTTACATTTCGTGATGTAATTTCAGCAGCTCTTTTACTTCTGGTGGAGTTAAAGACACTTCATTTCCATTTTCGTATTCTATTTTTAACCGACTTTAAAAAAGGAGGAGGTTCTTAATTCGTCGGAATACTTTTTTTTAGTATGTTCAGCGATAATTCTTTACTATGTTGTCCGTTTTCTATGATTTGTTAGAAAGAGGTTGCCTCAGGGGTGGTCCCATATAAATTTGGTCAAGATTTAATAATGAGGTCCATGAGAAAATCAGCAATCTCTTCATTTTTTATGTATTTTTAGCGATAATTCTTTACCATGTTGTTCGCTTTCTATGATTCTTTTTTTGATAGGAAGGAGATACCTCTGGGGTAATTATATGTACAATTAGTCAGTGTCTGATGATCTACGAGAAAATAGAAAATCTCAATTTATAAGGACATATGCTCGATGTTGAAGTCGGTTTTTTAAAATTACTTTTGTGACTTGTTTCCTAGTTTTTAGTACAACATTTTACAAATTATTTTACACTCAAAATTTGACGTTTTAATTTGAGTTAATTCGACTTTTAATGACAGCCGTCATCTACTTATAAAGTACTTAATAAATAAATTGCAATCGGTAAATCAATTATTAAAATAAGCTCATAGTTCTCAGAAAATCTAGATACCGCTATGGGTATGCTGTCAATACAACAAAATTACCCCTTTTATGCTTGACCGACGCACTGAGGTTGATTCAAAGGATTTAGACGGTCAAAAATTAAATTTCAAAAATGAAGTTAAAAATTCCGAATATCTCAGAGCCAAAGAAATGTTCCATTAATAATAATTTACCATCCCTTCTTGCTAACCTTCCTTCGTGAGCGCGCATATGTCGTCCCAAAAAGAGCATGTTATTGTTATCAACGTCCTCATTGTAAACATTTAAACAAAGAGAAATTTTGTGTTTAGAGTTATTTTGATAGATTCGAATAAATCAGGTAAGAATCAATATTTCTTGATATGTTATAATGATTTTTAACATTATTTTATAGTATTTGTAGAACTTTCAAGAAAGGTTCTTTTTAATGAAGATTTTACCTAAATTTTCTGAGGTGCAAATTTAAATATTTAAAACATTTATCATTTTTTAGTAAAAATATTTGTACTGTTCATAAAAATTACATGTAATGGAAGCATATGTAATGAAGCTTTTACTATTAAAATGAAAACAATGTTAATGTATAAAATAATATATTACGTTTAAAGCTTGTACCAGATAAAAAAAAAATACAAAACTAAAACGACATAAAAATCAATATTTTGTATTTTATGTACAAATAAATAGTGTATAATACAATAAAATAAACTAGCAAAAATTATAAATCACCTTGCATATTATACAAGTTTGAGAAATCAGTATTGTTAACATTGTTTATAAATAATGCACAATTTTATTTCGCTGTTTTTTTTTAACCAAACACGAAAATTAATCATTTTGTATTTTTTGTACTTTTGTATAATTTTAAATTAATTTTTAACTAAAATTCACTAGAAACGCATCGAAACAAGTCAAATTTTCGGAAATATCTTTCGAGAAGGACTCGAAATCCATAGCACCGAACGAATCACTACTTAATTCCACACCAAAATCCGAAGATGTCACAGATTGTTCAGAAACGTCACTATGCAAGGTTAAAGACTCCCCGTCGGATTCCAAAAACAAACTTTCCAAATCGTCACAAGAAGAGGAAGACATTTTTTGATTATTCAATACTTGGCATATATTTTTATCTAATGCTTCCGATAGCGTTGATATGTATCTCATGGCTAGCCTGAGAGTAGTTATTTTAGTTAATTTTTCGTTTTGTTGCTGCTGTGGCGCTATCTGCGGTACGACTTTTCTCAACGTTTCGAACGCCGTGTTTATCTCCTTCATCCGACATCGCTCTCGTGCGTTTGCCGTTTTTCGACGATATTTGCTTAAAGGGGCGGGTTTTTGTTTTAGTTTCTTATTGTTCGTTTGGGGTTTTGGATTGCCTTCGTATTCTTCCTCGTCTGATGAATGTTTTCTACGTGTAGATCGTGGACGGAGAGAATATTTGTCGCTCTTTGATTGTTTTTCTTTATTTGGATTGTTGTTAATATCTTTGTAGATCGATTGTGGATCGGAAAAGAGGCCTAAACGTTCGGATAGTTGGTTGTCGAGTTGGATCATTTTTGATGAACACAACTGAAAAAAAAATGTATTTATAATCATATCTCATTATTTACACTTTGTCTAAAAAAGTTAAATTTTTATATCGACCGGTTTTAACTTCGTTTTAAGATACACCTAAATGGATAAATATGGAGTCAATTTATGCATGGAACATTTCTGAAAATTAATAATAATTTTTTAAATACTTAATTTAATAATCTGATATCATAACATATCCAGCATGAATTGTCTACATATCATAACAAGTTAAGTTTAAAATGATCTCAATTTGAATGTAAAAAATAAGTTGAAATTACGTAATAACAAAAAATCTGATGTGTCCAACACATGACTTTCCTATCTAGTTATTATAGGCTTTTTCCGGTTATTTTGTACAACCTATTGCAGCACCTCTATAAATGTTTAGAGGATAAACTAAATATATACATTTTCCACATGCATCTAACTCGAAACATTTTTTTATAGATATTCATTGAAAACGAAAATACTGAAAAATTTAAATTTAGCACTTTTCCTCCAATTTTTCCATTACGGTCCATTTTAAAAAAAATAATGTAAAAACAAAAATTATAGAGATCGATATCTCAAACAACTTTTAATTTAACAATTTACTTAAAAATCAGAATTTATTTTTCTAAGGTAGGAAACCGAATATTGTTTTTTTTTTTATTTAAAATTTAAAATAAGAGAAAAAATTTTGATTCATGCCCAGGATTTTTCATGTAAGTTTCTTTTTCTTTTATTTATCTATTTAATTATATTTGAATCATTCCGTTTCCTGTCAACAATCAATTTTTGAACGAAGCCCGACGTTTTCTATCATAATTAATTTACACACCGTTTTGATCGGTTTTGGCAAATCTCAAAATCATCTTTTCTATAACCATCGCATTCGTCGTCCAAACATCACCGTAAATCATATCATTCTCGTTCGACGAAATTGCCAGCGTCAAGCGGTTTGAACTAAGATACAAGGGGGTTCCGAAAACTTTATTCAAATTTATAGGAGATTTTGCCTTTACTGAACTTACATTGTAGATGGGTTAACTATAGTCGTAACTACCCGTTTTCTTTTTTTTTAACTTCTCAGTTGGTCAACCGTTTAGTTAAAAATTAATTACTTCGTTCTAATTAATTACCGTTTTTTTAATATTTTGACCAGAATATTTAATTTAATTTTGTGTATTTGGGAAATATACTTTCTATGTACCGTATTGTACATAATTTCCGATTTAAATATTTTTCCCGTACTAGTAAAAAGTAATACGAACTTTAATTTCATTTATTTTCTTACATTTTATTACCGTCATATTTAATTAATTTATTTTTAAAATTATTTTCCGTATACAGGGTGTTTCCTAATTCCCGGACCGATTAGCCTCCTGTTCTATCGAACCGCAATTATTTCCCTATAGTTTTTTTTAGTTTTCAATTGTAATAATTTATTTTTAAAATTAATTTTCCGTATACAGGGAGTTTCACAATTTCCGGACCGATTAGCCTCCTGTGCTACCGAACCGCAATTATTTTCCTATAGCTTTTTTTAGTTTTCAATTGTAATAATTTATTTTTAATAAGTTTTCCGAATACAGGGAACCATAAATATTTAACTAGTTTTCATTTGTAATAATTTTTTTTTAATCAATTTTCCGTATACAGGGAGCCATGAATATTTAACTATTTTTCAATTGTAATAATTTGTTTAATCAATTTTCCGTATACAGGGAACCATGAATATTTAACTAGTTTTCAATTGTAATAATTTATTATTAATAAATTTTCCGTATATGGGGAACCATAATTATTTAACCAGCTTCAATTATAATAATTTATTTTATTTAACCTCCCTATAGTTTTTCAATTGTAATAATTTATTTTTAATTATTTTTCTGTATATAGGGATCCGTAATTACTTTCCAGTAATCGCGTTCATTTGTAATTGTTCATTTTATTTAATTTTCCTTTTACAGCCGTGCCAAAACCGTGCACTACCACCGATGTATTTTTTTCTATAAATATATATTTTATTATCTATTCCTGCGTTTCTCTTATTGCTGGTTCTTAACCGTTCTCTTTCAGGGTACCGTACGGTACGAGGCGTAAAGAAGATAAGTGTTTTATTTTTATTTATTCTAGTTCAGTGGCTACCTAGTTAGCAGTGACCGCCTGGAAATATTTTTAACGCCACTGAGTTTACCTTAAGTACACTCTGGTGTATACAGGGTCGCAGAGCAAACTGTGATACCAAAACTGGCGCCTGAGCAACCCCTATTCGGGAATCACCACCTTAACGCCACACAGACTCCCTTATTCACTGTAGGTGAACCAGAAGCCTGTCACAGTATTCAAGATATTTAAGAAAATTAGTAAATTACGAATTTTGAAGAAAATTAAAAACGGATGAAGGAAAAAACATTAAATTTTAAAATTAAGTTTTATTTCGGCCTGCGGTGAAATGATTAGATTTTGGACAAAGTCGGAACATCTGGGGGGTACTTTATAGGAGGTCGTTTTAATATTTTATGGAATATATCTGTTATTTATGTTTGGAGAAGAAAATTGTTTAAATAAAAGTTACTTCTAATATTATTATCTATAATTTTTGTTTTATTCCAAATTTTCCTGAAATGGGCCGTATTCGAGAAATTTGACAAAATGTGCAAAATTTTGATTTTCAAGAAAATTGTTAAACTAAAAGTTTTTCTAAAATGGACCGTAATGGAAAAATTGGAGGTAAAGTGCTAAATTTAAATTTTTCAGTATTTTCGTTTTCAATGAATATCTAAAGAAAAATGTTTCGAGTTAGATGTATATGGAAAATGTATATATTTTAGTTTATCCTCTAAACATTTAGAGAGGTGCTGCAATAGGTTGTACAAAATAACCGGAAAAAGCCTTTAATAACTAGATAGGAAAGTCATGTGTTGGACACATCAGATTTTTTTATAAAAATAATGGGTATTCACATGTACCTCTGTATGTACAAATGGTATGAGGTATTTATTATTATTGTACATAAGTATGTACATGTGGTCTAAAGTGTTGTCAAACTTAATTGACGTATATTTCAGGATCATCCAAATATGTACAGAACCTAGCAAAAATGTAATTTAGAGAATCCGAATCATGTCCGAGAACTGCTAGATCTTTTAGAAGATCGTAACATGTCAGATAGTGAAGAAGAAGATTTAGATTTTTATGATTCTGAAATTGCTAAGCGTCCAAGAGCAGACAGTGTTATAAGACTTGAAGCAGAACGGATGGCAAGTCAGAAAAATGAAGGCAACGAAAGTGAAGACGACGATTCAGATGCACAAAGTTCGCCATTTTCCTGAATTTGATGTAAACAAGGAAGTCATCAGGTGCAAAAATAAAGGCTGCAAGGGCAGTAGTAAGACTTTTTGCAGAAAATGTAATATGTATATTTGTGTTTGATGTTTTTATAAATACTTATTTTCTTTTCTCCATCCCTATGTCCAAAAAAAAAATTTTTTTTTTGAAAAGAGAAATAAAATTAGGTTTTTGTTTTATACCTTAAATTTCTCCTCTACCAATAGCAAAATACCATCAGAATAATATTTTTACAAAAATACAAAATTCGGGTCTTAACGGGTTAATTATTGATTTAATTAAAAATTATTTCTAATTCCTAGGTAAGATTCCTCATTTGATCATTCACTATCTTGTTCTAACAGTGCTTAAAGTGACGCTGGGAAATACTAAGAGGGTCTGATGAAATTTACAACACAAAAAGTATGTGGTTTACCAAATGGACCTAGATTAACCGCAGTTATAAAAATCCAAAAAGAAAATTGTGTCTTATTGTCGATAATTACATTACTGTGTATCTAATAGAGAGCGTAATGCTCATGGCCACTCACACATTTTTTTTTAATGCCGAATCAATTTATGAATAAAAAATTTTAATTGTAATTTATGCGAAATTTTACCCAATTTTGAGTACCTACTCGTTTATCTGTTTATCAGTAGCCATTACGCCATTATCTAGTAACGATTCCTCTTAATAACTTTTAAAGTTTTCTCCAAATTCTACGACCCATAGTATCCGACAGCCGGAGTTTCTTCTTATTTGAAAACTTGGTACAATTTACAGGTTCTAATGAAATACTTTGACATTTTAGAACCAGTATGTGCATCTGTCCAATGTAATCGTACACCATTAACTTTACCGGGACAATTATACTTTCTTCCTACGCGAATTGTAATTAATATAAATGTGCCATTCCTTTTTATTTAAATCAGGCTTAGACATGAAAATTTGACACATGGTTCCGTATAATTTTAGGGAGGTGGGAACTTTGAAAAAACGTTTAGAACACTAAAAACTACTCATTTCAGCAGTGAGTTGCTACAATAAAATTTGCAAAAAACTTACGAGTTTGAATTATTCACAAAACACATTATTTATAGTCAAAGAACTAAAAAACATGAAATCTAGAGATGAAAAGAGAGAGCATGATTGTTTACTTCTAAATTTTTGTCTTTTGCCGTTGCTAAATTTCAATATTAGGCATTCCATCTAAGGGGTTGTAAGATACCTTGTTTTCTATTTACATTACGTGAAATCATAAATATTTTATTTCGAACACAATGAAAATATAATTTTTTAAAAAACCGCTTATATATTTTTTTATAAATTGACAGGCTTGGCGACTATTATTTCGAATAAAAATTGCGTCCAAGATGTCGCAACCCCCTTAGATATATAAGCCCTTCCCACTGGTAGTTATTTTTTGACAGGTCGTTGGAATGCATAATTGTACAATTAGGCATTCCAAACAAATGAATTACCAGTGGGCAGGTTTGGTATATCTAAGGGTAGCGACATATGGTGTATTCTATCTACTTTACGTAAAATCATGAATAATGGATTACATTTAAATATTTTATGTCAAACACAATAAAAATAATATTTAAAAAACCCACCTATACATTTCTTCATAAATTGGCAGGCTTGGCACGTACTACTTCCAATAAAAATA